CAAATTAATCTGCTTTTATCTGGTATCACAAATGATGATTTTCCACGCTAGACAATCGAAATGGTATGTCTACAAGGTGCTTTATTAATATCCTACCCAAAACAGGGGAAATCCACACGTCACGGGGCAGTCTGATATTTTAGGGGGTGGTAGATAGGCTGCATGCAGTCATGGGACCTAGGCTGCACTGTCTCGTGGGACTTAGGTGGGTTGGGGTTAAGGCCAGTTCTAGATGTTTTGGGGTCGTTAAACGCATAAGAAAGCCGGGAAACCAAGTCTTACAACCTTCTAAAATGTTGGACTGTCTTGTGACGCCATCTGGGGGTAATATTTTTAATAAAGAACCGTCTACAATAACAAATTGTGGAAATCATGTTTTCTTTAACTTATTTCGGTTTGTTTAGCTGGCATGGTAGATTTGACAGTGTATGGTTTCGACAGTCCTATCGAGAGCCCACCATAGAGATAGCAGGGGCAAACTACTGACCGTAAAATAGCCTAAATCTCAAACAGACCTATCAAATAGGTTTAGTTCTGCATCGTCCTGTAAGGAATACAGAACAAGCTTTAAAAAAAATTATTATTAATGTTTGCTAAGAGAGCCGCGGTAACAGAGAGAGTAGACGATCGCTTCTCTCCGAACGACTCGGATCTCGGCTCCCAAGTCGTCACCACTTAGGATGGGTACAAGGTAATGTTCTGGGAAGTAAAATATGTATGTATGTAAGTTGTACCCCACTAGGACATCACAAAGTGCCATCATGCGGATGAGGATCACCCGTGGAGAGGTCCCGGAAACTCCATTCAGCTGTCAACGCCATATTTTGGACCCGGCTAAATTTAGGGCCCCCGGCAAAAGCCAGGGTGGGGCTTCACAATAACTAAAAATTTAATCCCACAAGGGTGTGACAATTAGTTTGGTAAATCAGACAGTCCGTCCGGAACTGAACTGACTTTCTACCCACCAGAACATCACACAAGCGATAAACTGGATTAGCCAGTCAAACCGGCTGATATCATAGCAAAGGGAAATCAAACAGTTTTATCCAATTTTACTAACGTTTACTTCCCTTCGTTGAAACGAAAGTTTATTGAAGGTTCCTCTACTGGTCGTTGCTGAACCAGCCCAGCATTTATTTATCTTTTGTGGTTTTTCTAGGCTAATTTTAAGTTCAGTAGTTTTCACGTGCTATCTGTAATAGTGACAATTTAAAAGATCTAAACATCAAGGAAGATTGGCTAATAAACAGCATCTTGTCTCGGAAGCTGAAATATTTTGGTCATATCAAGCCCTATGGCGGACTGAGGAAAAATTAATAGCAGAAGACATGGAACCAGGAAGGAGGGGCAGGGGCCGATCAAGTCGAAGATGGGCACAGGATATCAGTGACTCCTTGAATATGAAAGTACACGAGGCGGGAGAGCTGGCGAGAGACCGAGTTTCTTTTATGCAGACCGTGAAGACAGCAACGTTCTGCAAAGGACCTGCTACGTGATGATAAACAAATATTTCCGTATATGTGTGCGGCGGCTTTGCTTCATTTTAAAATTAAGCAGCCCCTAGCTCTCTATCCCCTTCCCCCCCCCCCCCACACCCCCACGCCCACCCCACCCCCAGGAGGACTCAGGAGACCTCAGCCACATGGTTCTGGCGCCCCTCTGAATTACTCATATCTGCATTTCTCTGTAATATTGCCTCAATAACATAAATCCGTCTGGCTAATGTTGTTCTCTCTGGTAGATTATGAAGGATCTTGGAAGATGCTACATTACTACGCCAGGTCCTTCTTCAACAGAACGCTGATCTCGCCATATCGGTTGAAGGATGGCTCGGTGGATGTGTTTCTGGTCCTGGACCAGCTTCCAGTCGTGGAGGTTAGAGGTTCTGATGGTGAGTAGACGTATACAGAGTGCAAGACTCCGATAGGAGACACCTTTCCTTCTTCTTAATAAAATACAATCGCAGTATGAAAAATGAGTGCTTGGAAGGACCGAATGTAAGACAGGCCTGCGTACGCAGTTTGTGACTATTTTAAAATAAAGACTGTTTGTTTGTTCTTTCTCCCAACACCACCACCAGTTGCATTAAAGGATGTATAATGATCGTTTGTGTGATCTATTTAACGTGTTGCATAAGTTTACCATTTCTGTAAGGCTGTTTTTGTATACCGCCATTAACTCAGCGAGATAGAAGAACGCTCGGAAACCAGACAAGTGGAACACCTTCTACGGAGGACAAGAATAACTTATGAAAACATGTAAATTCCACTATATGGCCTTGGGCCAAAGGGAGAATACTCATGCGCTGCCAGGTCGATAACAACAACAACAACGAATATCGCTATTCTATTTTTTTCCCCTGGTTTCCCATCGCTCTGTCTTTTTTCTATTTCTTCAGTGTATCAAAGCTTCCTTATCAGATGACCAGACCATCTCTTCTATTGCTCTTTAACGAACTTCGTGACTTGGTTCAGTCCTAGTCTTCTCATTTCTTTATTTTAAATGTTCTCTTCCTGTAACCATAGCAGCTCTCACGAAAGACATAGCATCTTTGTTCTTGTGATCATTCGCTATTATTTCCAGTCCTTTTTAGGATGGAATTTTTCTTTATCTGAAGCCTTACTCTGGTTTTTGCCAGGGGCCGCTTGGCTTGGCTTTTTTACCCCACCAGGACATCACACAAGCGATAAACATCCAATGACACAAAGTGCCACCATGCGGATGAGGATCACCGTGGAGAGGTCCCAGAAACCGCGTTCAGACATTTGGCCATAATGATGACCTGCCTATATTGCGGCCCCTGGCAAAAGCCAGAGTGAGGCTTCAAATAACAAAAAATAACGTCCTAAGAAGGACGTGGGGCCGCAATATAGCCTGGCCATAAATATGGTCTGAAGGCTGAATGCGGTTTCTGGGACCTCTCCACGGTGATCCTCCCCCACATGGTGGCACTTTGTGTCATCGGGTGTTTATCGCTTGCGTGATGTCCTGGTGGGGTAGAAAGTCAATCAGTCAGTCAGTTCTTGTGATTTTCAGCTCATTTTTTGTAGTAAGTGTCCATGTTTGATATCATTAGTATAGGAATGTTCAAAATAATTCTTCTTAGATTTGCCTAAATAGACAAATGTATATTTCTGGTAACTGGGCAATCGCAGTTCTGACACCACAGCAAACGGGTACACTATAATTGATCCGTTCCTGCGAAAATAAAAAGCACAAAGAATGCACATCGATCGCTGTCCAATATGAAATGATTGACTCAGAGAGCAGTCTTAGCAAAATCAATAGCATACAGACACATTAAATGCATAAGACTGTTGTCAGATGTGCCAGCACAAACGGTCTGACACTATAGATGCAGCTCTTTATCGGTGGAAGCAGCAGTTACAATAAATCAGTAGTTGCACACGAAATAAATGTATATTTACGTGTGTCAAAAGAGGTGATAGATGTCCCAGAATCTGATTCAAACGAGACATCGGCATTGTATTTTGTGGTGTTGGGCCATTATTTATCGAACACATCAAATGGTGTCTCTACGTTTTAATTGTCGGTATCTGTGGTTTAAAAATTTCGTAACACAGCATTATAAATCCAGCATAGACGCTAGAAATCAAATGTGGCAAAAGCTAGCTTTCCTTTAGGGAGCGGCAGGGGGTGGGGTGAGTGATCTCGATTATGGTGTTCGCCTAGAGTGCTGGAGGTCTCAGGTTCAAGCCCCGGTTAAAGGCTGGGCATTTTTCACGTGGACTTCTAGTAATTTCCAATGGTCTCTGGGTAGTAAGATCGGCCGCATGTGTGTATTCTTGCGTACGTAATAAAATCCCTTGGCAGTTGGAAATCGAAAAGAGTAGCCTAACGGCGCTGCCCGTGCACAAATTGTAAGTTAAAAATCTAACCAAAGTATTTCAGTATCCTCGCCGGTGCAACGGAGTTCGTGCCCTGCGCTGAGATTCTTCACACTAAGGTTTGAGTTAGAAGTATAACGGAGCACTTATGGTTACACCCGTGTGCCATGATGTTGATCCGTCGAATAAATATAAACATAACGATTTCGATTTCGAAAATAGTATTGCGTCACCATACAGGGGTCAGTAGCAAACTGGTGATTGTAGTACTGCCTGATAAAATCTCAGACCGCCAACAAATGCTGAGGTTTTCTTTGTTCGGCCAGAGGGAAGAGACATCCAGGACAAACTTTGGGGAACCCATGGAGACTTGCTGCTGACGTGCCGGTTCATTGAGGCAACATATCTGAAACCCTGGGCATATAGAACCAATCGCAAAGAAGAAGAAGAGTTTGGCAACCTATTGCGATCAACAGTCAAGTTTAAAACCACGCAGAGATTTACAGTAACCTTTTTATGTATTTTAGGCGTTTTGTGTATCCCAATTCTCCGTGTTCATTTCCCTTCTCTACATTTTAACTTCTAAAAAGTCTGACAGCAATACATCGGTCTTCCATGATTGTTTTATTGACAAGTTGACTATATTTCAGTGGCGAGACGTGTTTAGTACGCATGTGTTAGCGTAACCAAGTAACTGTTACACTGGCGAGGATATCACGTGATATTTCCTCCTTGTCGCTTCGCTGATAAGAGTATGCGTATGCAAATAACATCGTGGTGCTAGTAACTAGTAGCTTTCACACACTACATTTCTTCTTGAGTGGCGTAAGCATGCAGTGAGTGTTTTTTTTCCCCGAAAGTTCGAGACGTGAACCGAGTGGTGTATTTATAAATAAATAGTGAACATTACTTTTTTTTTAATGATTCTCTTTTTATTCTGAACGATTACAGGGACGCTTTCCTTTAGGTTGGCCAATAACATCAGTGAGCTGGTTAAGCTCGGGCTGTCTGCCTCAGAAGCCTCCGAGAAGTTACAGGCTGTGAAAGAAGCCAGTAGCGGCAGTCTCCGGGTTCAGATCTATGACTACATCAGCTTTAACCCATTACACACGTGGACAGTTAAATACAATGTAAGTCATTGTCAGTAGCAGTCATTTGGTGAACAAGCTTGTTAGGATTCTAAAGTGAATGTTATCTATCTAATGGGGTCGAATTCGCCTAGGGGACTTAACATCCAACAAAGTTTTATATACTATTTTGAGTTACGTCCCTTTTTTAAGGCTTTTTTTGGCTAGTGTTTATTTCCGGCGGTCACACACGTGTCACGGATTCAACTGGCCAGACAAATGTGTGATTTCTCTCTGGCCACAGCCTGAACTTGTCGTTTGTGTTTGAAGTAATGTGAAGCTGTCTGGTTCTGTTTTTCGTTTAATTTGATATGATTTTATGATATTGCATTGTAAGGGCAGTTAACCTGTTAAGTATCTAGTATGTGTACTCGTTTATCTGGTTTATAAACAATGTTTACAGTAGCCTATACTTGAGCTAACTGCAGTTAATTAGGGGCTGCGTGGTCTCGAGGTATGGTGTTCGCCTCGAATGCTAGAGGTCCCAGGTTTAAACCCCGGTGAAGCCTGGGATTTTTTTTTCACTTGGACTTCTAGTAATTTCCCGTGGTCTCTGGGTATTGAGATCGGACGCCCGAGTGTATTGTTGCCCAAGTTAAAAAAAAATCGCTGGCAGTTGGAAATTGAAAGGGGTAGCCTAACGGGCTACCCGGACTAAATTTGGAGTTGAAAATATACCCAAAATATTGCAGGATCCTCGCCGGTGCTATGGAGACTGTGCACTGCGCTGAGCACTTCGGACTCAGACTTGAGTTAGAAGTAGAACGGAGCACTTATGGGTTACTACCCGTGTGCTGTGATCTTGATCCGTTGTTAAAACCTCAAACTGCAGGTAATTGTCTCAATATGTAGATAATACAAGCTGAATATCTAGGCTCCATAATAAATAGCAATGGAGACTGTTTAATTGAAGTCAAAAGGAAGATAGCCAGAGCAATACAAAGATTAAACATCATTTTAAGTCTATGGTAAAACACCAGCATCTTCCCTGTAGCAACATATAGATGTGAGTCGTGGACTATCTCCCATCTTCCCTGTAGAAACATATGGATGTGAGTCGTGGACTATCTCCCATCTTCCCTGTAGAAACATATGGATGTGAGTCGTGGACTATTTCCCAGTCCTTAAGGAAGAAAATAGGAGCTTTGGAGTTGAAATGCTATTTAAAAATTAACATAAGAAGATAAAGAAGAAACGAAATACAGTGGAACCTCGCTTAACGAGCATAATGCGTTCCAGAATCATACTCGTTAAGCGAAACACTCATTATGCGAAACCATTTTTCTCATATAAATTAATGTTAAATACGATAATGCGTTCCATGTCGAAAAAGATACTCACAAAATTGTTAAGGAGAGTGGAACAACTTCATATTTTCTATAAACGAATAACGAACCCACATAGAATGCGAATTCGATTTGCAGAAAAAAAGTCGAAATAATTACGATACATAGCTAATTATTATTATTATTATTATTTTTTTTTTTTTTTACTAGAAAGATGTCAAGAGATTTGTTTTTGCCGACGCTTTAAAATTTGGCGGAAATGCGACACAGCATTATCATTAAATAAATTTGCAACGCGCATAGCCACTTCCTTATTAGGGCGTTGCTTCTCAATGTAAGATGCAACAGTTTGCCATGCTTTCAGCATTTCTCTTATTTCGCCAGAAAATTGTTGCTTTTCTGTTACCTGCTCCTCCTCCTCTGACAAAATTTCCTCCAAAACGCAGCTCTAGGCTGTGCTCTTCCACAAGCTCTTTGATATCACTGTTATCCACCTACAATCCCATGATAGACACAATCTCGTTGACTACAGGTTTCACAGGTACCGTCTCGAACCCCTTAAAGTCACAAATAGACAACGCTCTCCGGCCAAAGCTTCTTGCAAGTAGAAGTTAGGGTTCTCTGGGTAACCCCTTCTCCCGCCTTGTCGATCATCTTGAGGCAGGCAACGATGTGGGAGTGGTTTTTTTTTCTCCAAAACTCTTTGAGAGCGAGGTTGGTCCCTTTAGTCACCTGAAAACAATGCTCTAAGAGTGCTTTATTATAGAGCTTCTTAAAGTTATAAATAACTTGCTGGTCCATGGGCTGGAGTAAAGGAGTGGTGTTGGGAGGCAGAAACTGGATCTTGATGAACTTAAATTCTTCAGAGAGGTCATCCTGTAGGCCTGGAGGATTCATGCACATATATCACAATTTAAGAAAATGTGTGATCACAAGCGACACTACGATGCAGCTGGAACAAGTGCTAAACACAGACTGATGTAACATGCGCACGATTCGGGACTTTCCCTCTCCTTGCCACTCGTTATGCGAAACGTCGCTCGTTAAACAAATGATTTTTTTTTAACAATTTGTTTTGCTCGTTATGCGAATTACTCGTTATGCGAGGTGCTCGTTAAGCGAGGTTCTACTGTACTTACATTCATAAGATCTGAAAATGAAGGGCAAATAAACAGCATCTTGCTTCAGAAGCTGAAATATTTTGGCCATATCAAGCAGCACCGCGGATTTGAAGAAAATAATAACAGAGATGTGGTACCAGAAATGAGAGGCAGGGGCGGAACGACACAAAGATGGGCATGGGAAATAAGTGACTTCTTGGATATGAAAGTGCCCGAGACGGGAGGGCTGACAATGATCGATTTCCTTTCAGACAGACTATGATGTGAGCGACGTTCTGCAAATGATCTGCTACATGTTGGTGTAACACTGTAGATAATATTAGACTGGCCGCCATCAAGAATTTATTTTATAAACGGGAAAGTGCGGGAACTGGTGACACCTCAACCCCCTTGTAATTTTCTATGAACAGCTGTCAGAGTCAGCCCTGCCCCTCCCTTCCCCATTAAAAAAATTGGGATGGGAGGAGGAAAAAAGGAGGGGGGGGGGTTCAGGGTAGCTAAGCCCCTATTTTCAGCTCCTCTGGATAATATGACATAAAATAAAATAGAATACCTTTCCTTTGAAATAAACAAGGCGGACCAAGTCAGGGATAAGGCTGCATTGGTACCTCATGGTCTCTAAAATCTACCCAGACTATGAGCTATGGAGAAAAGAACTCTATTCCTGGCCTCTAACGCGAGCAGTTGTTTCTAGTCACACTCGCTATCGCCATGTAGCGCCAATATAACACTATCGTCTGGACAAACGAAAAGGGGCCAACGGCAATGTGGATATCATATAGTGTGAGGTAAAATTATACTAAAGGACCCTTTTTCCAAGCATTCAGGTGTATTGGGCATATGGTCTTCGTCTTTGTTCACCGACTGAGAGTTACAGCGAAAAGTTCTGGTTATGTGTCCATCTGGTGTTAAACTTGGTGCCAGGACCTGTCACTGGCTTTTGTGCAAGCGGTTGGTTGTTCCTTGGCGCTCGGACAGATGCACTCCGACTTTGAAGGAAGCTGCCTATTAGTATACTTTTACGACCTACTTTTTTTGGGGTAGGCAGTGTGTTTTTTCTTGTTTTCCCCACAATGGGGCCCCGAAACTCATATGGGGGAAGGGCATATAGTGATAGACGTATATTTTATAGAACATTCGGCGCTCGGTGGATGGTGTGGTCAACATCACGTCGACCAACTTTACTTTCCGGGAATTTACCTGGTACATATTTAAGGTTGAGTCGACCTGGCAGTCTAGGTCATTTTTAGAAAAACTCCGGTTCTGTTCGGATCTGAAACCATGACAGTAAGATCATCAGGCTAGCCTCTACCGCTACACCATTGCAGCTGCCAAGTTTCATATTAGGTGAGTTAATTGCGATATTTTATAATAATGAGCGTTATTGGTGTGTTTTGTCTACTAATAGCTGAAAACTGCGGCCGAGTCTGTGTTTACCAAGTCGGTCAGTGACCTGCTGGCCGAATCCGGTTGTCCTTCAGCAGAAAACTGTCTACTGCATTTGACAGCAACAGATAGTGATGGGTTGGTGGTGTCCACTAACTGGTACCCGCTGGCCTACCCTAGATCGTCTAAACTGAAGCCAGCTCAAGTGAAGGTATATTATGATTCTCCTCCTTCTAATCATCATCATCATCCTTTTCATCTTCTTCTTTTCGGTATGTAGGCGACTGGAGTCTAGTACGTCGTACTTAACATTTCAAACTCAGTCATACACTCCATAGTACGGTATTCATAAGCATACCTAGCATGTGTGTGCATAAAGTAAAGTAAAAGTGAAGATCCCTTTCACGCCTTTAGGCGCATCGGGCATATGGGAAGATCACCCATATTTTTTCAGACCAATTGGCACTAGGTGGGTAATGTGGTCAGCATTACGCCGGCATTTTTTAGACTGGGTCGACCTGCGACGCCCCATTCCGTGATAAAAATGCACGCAGCCAGCAGTGGGTTTTGATCGCGATACTTCGGAATAACGAGTCGGACTCGCAACGCCTAAGCCATGGACGCCGCATGTGCGCGCACACACACACACACACACACACATAAACATATATATATATATATATATATATATATATATATATATATATATATATATATATATATATATATATATATATATATATATATAATTTGTGTGGGGAGGGGTAGGGGGTGATTATTTGGCGGTACGTACCGATACGCAGAACCTGCAACTAATTTTTTATTTCCCGATGATACTTTGAAATAGACATATGAACGTAAAACTTTGAAAATTGACTCGTACAACTGACATCATCGTTACCATCAACCAGTACCATTCTATGGACGATGTTAAAGGTCATATCCATTCTAACGGGTTTGTTTTACACTCTCCACAGATTGCATCGGTAACCAGGGCCAACGAGCACACAGTCGACATTGAAGTTTCCTCTGATGCCATTGCCCTGTTTGTTTGGCTGTCTGTAGACAACGTCAGAGGCCATTTCTCTGACAACGGGTTCTTGTTGTTTACACCGAGCAGACGTGTTCGTTTCTACGCCTCTGATACTGTCGATGTTGGGTATTTCTCTTCTCACCTTAGGGTCAGAAGTGTTGCTGATGTTAAAACTTCGGATGTTCCAATTGTAGGATAAATTGTTATATCTTTAATACATTTATTATTCATGCTGTTGTGTTTGTTTTGTTTACTGAAGATTCATAAATTCTTTGTCCAAATTTGACGTCTACACTTTTGACTTGAAAGAAATATATTTTTTTTAATATATAGTTTTTTTACAGCCTCCCTTGTAGAGAAAATGGCTAGGTAGTTTTTCTGTCTTGACATTAAAGTACATACCGTTTGACGTTGGTAGTCGTGTCTATCAACGCCCTTCTGTCCCGTGTACTGTCAGTCTCTGACACAATGATCTTTTCTCTCGGTCTCCCTTAGCCTCTCTTAGCTAACTATCGTTTTAGAGCAGCAGTCTCCAACCCTTTTTTGGGGTGAACCCCCCACCCATAACAAAATGTGATTAAAATGAGGAGGAAACAAGTAAAGTCTCGAGCAGTTAAAGTGAACTTGGAGAAAAACAGTCACATTAATCAAAGTTTTAAATGACGAAAGAAACAATCACTAGCGACTGGTAATTTAGTGTCCAAATATCAATGTGATGGTTGACACTGTTTTGTCTTGATGATACCTGTTATTTTTGGTCTGGTGTTCGACAAGGCACAACCAGGATCACTCTCCGCACCAAGCTGGCAGTGTTATTTTGTTTGCATGGTTGTTAACGTTTAAAATCCTGATTATTACAAATGCAAATACAACCAATTTCAAAATTAATCTACCCCACCCTCTTTTTGAAACTTCTTTATAATCCCAAAGGGGACACCCCCCCCCCCCCCCCCCCCGTCCAGCCACTCAGTTTAGCGACCTCTGTTGCAGAGGAAACTTATTTACGTATTTAGTTTTTCTCTGTCTAACTTGCCTTAAAACGGACCTCCTATACATATTAAGTCATTTATTTTCTACCAACGGTTATAGAGAGACCTTTTGTACGCATTTACTCCTTATGCCAAACTGTCAAAATTGTCTCTCTTGGTGTTTTCATGACTCTTTAACCCTCCGGTATTCGTGCTGTCACAAAACAATCCAGCATCTTCTTTTTTTTATATATTTTTTTTTTATTTAATGACGTACACAGATCTAGGCTCTATAATAAACAGCAATGGAGACTTCTTCTTCTTCTTCTTCACTTCCTCTTTTACCGCTGTGGGTGTCGAGGGAGATATAAGGTTCTGTTTCTAGCTCTTCTGGCTGCCTCGACCATAGGCACATCGTGCTGTTGTAGAGTTTCTCTGATGTTATCCTTCCATCTTGTTCTTGGTCTACCCCGTGCTCTACGTTCTTCTTCTCTTTCCATGTATGCTTTGTATGGTATGGTGTCACAAGGCATTCTCTCTAAGTGGGCAAACCATTTCACTTGCTGTCTTTGTATGTAATCCAGAATTGGTTCTGTGCCGACTTGTTCTCTTATGATGCAATGGAGACTGTTCAACCGAAATTAAAAGGAGGATGGCCATAGCAATGCAAAGATTGAACAGCCTTAAAAGTCTATGGTTAAGCACCGGCAAGGAGATAGGAATTAGAATTTTGAGAGTATGCATCTTCCCTGTGGCTACATACGAATGTGAGTCGTGGACTATCTCTCAGACCTTAAGAAAGAGACTAGCGGCTTTTGTGCTGAAATGCTATAGAAAGATTCTCAGGATAACTTGGACAAAGAAGAGGAGAAATATTGACATCTTAAAAGAGATGAACATCAAGGAAGATTGGCTAATAAACAGCATCCTTTCTAGGAAGCTGAAATATTTTGATCATATCAAGCGCCACAACGAATTAGAAAAAAAATATAGCTGAAGGCATGGCACCAGGAAGGAGGGGCAGGAGTAGACCGACACAAAGATTGGCATAGGATATAAGTGACTCCTTGAGTATGAAAGTACATTAGGCAGGAGAACTGGCGAGAGACCGAGTTTAGTTCAGGCAGACTGTGATGGGAGCGACGTTCTGCAAAGGACCTGCTACATGATGATGACACAGACTGTAAATCGTGTTTTACGATGCCCCATCAATTCTCTTTGTGAGTTAATTTCTGTAAAGAGATCTTCATTGTGTCTTTTAACTGTTGGTGTTTTTCTCAATATCCTTTTATAAAACCACATTGCTGCAGCTTCCACTAAATTCTTACTAATCCCCTAACTGTCCAGAACTCATTTCTCAACATTGGAATGGACTGTATACTTTAACGGCTCCACTTTTTACGTCATTTGCCTCAGTTATAGTGCATACACTATTCTTCATGCTGTGCAATGCTACTTTTGCTTGAGCTATTCTACATTTTTCGTCTGTCGTTATCAGAGCATTCAAAACGTACACATGTTGATTTGTTTCTGGTAAGTCCTGTTTACATTGATACTGCATTCCGGATGACAGGTGTTGTTGCAATTATTTTGATTTCTATACTTGGCTGTTCAAACAAAGACCTTTGTTTTCACTATCTGTAACAAGTACAGCGATCACCACTTGTAGCAGCATTTCAATTTCAGCCATCAAGACCATCACAGGCATATCTGCTGTTCACACTATCCCCACCAACTGGATATCCCATTAATGCACTGTATAACGAACAGATAGGTCGAATACATGAGAATACGAGCTGTTTATTACACAGTTTGGGTTATTAGATTCTGCTGCTGGATTCACGGTGAGTCATCAACACGACCATCGTGTTTAGCAAAGCTATTCAAATAGCGGCCCGCATGCCACATTTGGCCCGCGGATGCACAGCAAGTGGCCCGCTGATCATTACCAGTTGTATTGTATTAATAATCTTTCTATGCTGGGTGTGACATTGATTTCTCAGTGTACTCTGGCTGTTTCCTAGAGGATTGTACTATGGCTGACACACATGATGATATGACGCACACAGGTGTTATTGAGGAGACACAATCGCAGTTTATATCTTTATTACTCACAGAAGACAATCCGGTCCAGTCACCGTCAGCCACGCTCTAACATGTCCACATATTCAACAGGTAACAAGGACACAGTTTCTCATCACTGTTCACAATCATTCGCGTTCGCTACCTTTGCAATCTTCACGTCTCAATCGCGCCAAATGTACAGGTATTAAACAGCATCTCCCCTCGTTACACCGGGGTTTATGCCTCTGGCCCGTCACGATCCCCATTGTCAAAAGTTTAGTCCCTGGGAAAACTTAGTTGAATAGCCTTGATCTATTGTGTCATGGTTTGTCATTTCGCATTATCATCAGTCTCCGATCACCCCATGTTCTTGTTTCGTTGGTACTGGTACTGGTAGTCCTAAAAAAAAAAAAAAAAAAGATTCTTGCCAATTTCAGTCAGCTTCTAGAATGAGCAGCGACTCTATCTTGGCGTTGTTTGATATCACACGGCCAATTTATACAGCTTTGTATCTTTTTGATTATCTCTTGCATTTTCCCCATCAAGTCGCCAAATTCCTACTAAAGTTTCAAGTTGCTGTTTTGTTTTCTTTTATTATACAAAATGACATATATAGTCCCTTGATAGTTTGTCATGGTCCAACATAGAGTGTCTGCGGGCTCTGGGCGCCAGTCGAGACTCGGGAAAAGGCAAGACAAGCAGTTAACCAGATAACTACAGGTACCATCAGCATGACAACTCTTCACTAGCTGTTGAGCGGGAAGACCCAGCTAATATGGGCTTGTCCTGAATGCTATGATGTTTAAACTTTACCCAGATGAACCCAGATCTCCTTTCTGTCCTGTCCCATATTCCTGCCCCCCCCACCCCTTTTTTTTTTTATTTCTCCAACTCTCCGTGAAATACTATGAACTTCTACCAGAAAACACAATTTTACTACATTTAAGTCTTTCTCAGCTTGTCTTTGTATGGTTCATATTGGATATATTTAGAGACGAAAATGTTTCATTCAAATAAAAGAATATGTCAGCTCGCCATTTGCTTCGAATTTGTGAAGACCGGACACGTCACGCTCCCACGGAGATATATACAAGTGTGTTCCTTGGACATCCTGTCGCAAACCAACCCTAGAATTTGTGGGCTTCTTTGTGTGTGTGGCAATATTACTTCTGTAGTTTTGAATAACTTTGTGTGTTATTACTGCATGTGTGACCGTTAGTTTTGCTGTCCATGCTAGTACTCTGGATCAACTCAGTTGTCTAGTAAGTGCCACCATTCTTTTCTATTGTTTTGTCATTCCTTTGCGCAGTGCATGCCTATGCTGATCCCCACCTGTGCTTAAAAGATCCATATGTGTAGATGATTATGTCTTCTGGGCGTGAATGCTGATCTATCAATGTCCTTATCTCGGTGCGTACACAAAAGAGCTGAAAGCGAGTAGATGACGAGGTCTACCATAAGAACCCCGGAGAGGTAATATACAGGCATCCCTACAGACACTTGCAGTCCTCAACCATAAAGAGAAGGTCAGTCACAGAGATTAATGGGGGCGGCTTAAAGCTGTAGCAATGAACTTCAAGGGTTCAAATGCTGAAGAAGAAGAAGCAGAAGAAGAAGAAGAAGAAGAAGAAGAAGAAGAAGAAGAAGAAGAAGAAGAAGAAGAAGAAGAAGAAGAAGAAGAAGAAGAAGAAGAAGAAGAAGAAGAAGAAGTAGCAGTAGTAGCAGTAGTAGTAGTAGTAGTAGTAGTAGTAGTAGTAGTAGTAGTAGTAGTAGTAGTAGTAGTAGTAGTAGTAGTAGTAGTAGTAGTAGTAGTAGTAGTAGTAGTAGTAGTAGTAGTAGTCGTAGTAGTAGTCGTAGTAGTAGTCGTAGTAGTAGTCGTAGTAGTAGTCGTAGTAGTAGTCGTAGTAGAAGTAGTAGTAGAAGTAGTAGTAGAAGTAGTAGTAGAAGTAGTAGTAGTAGTAGTAGTAGTAGTAGTAGTAGTAGTAGTAGTAGTAGTAGTAGTAGTAGTAGTAGTAGTAGTAGTAGTAGTAGTAGTAGTAGTAGTAGTAGTATTGGTGGTGGTGGTGGTATATTTATTAATATTTGTTTCCACACAGCTAGCAATATCCTGTATCAGAACGTAACTCTCATCACAGTCTGCCTGAAAGAAACTCGGTCTCTCGCCAGT